GAACTTAAAATTACCTTTAGTGGGTGAGTTTATGTTCATTGCCATAATATTGGAACCCAAATAGCTATTTCATGACTCACAGCCGAAAACCTTTTTCCCCAAAGTGCCCTTTAAAATATTTAAATAAAATACAAACATCTCATTGAGTCAAAATCCTTTTCATACATGATGAACACAGATGAAGTTGATCAGAGGTATGAATTAACAAATAAGAAAACACAGATTATACATAAGTGATTATGCATTTTAGTTAATAAATATTTGCTGTCTTTATCATGTGTTAACATGTCTTCTAAGTGCTGAGAATACAGCAATTAACAGGATGGTATAAGGATTTTAGAATCTATGTGAATGACAAAAACAAATTTTAAAAATTGTACACAAATCAAATGATAATTTCTTAAACCACAAAGGGCTCTGAATGGGCTGCATAGTGGTCCAAGAAGACAGAGGGACCAAATGACCTGGGTCATCAAGAAGACTTCCCTGGGGAGGTGGTATTTGAGTTGACATCTAGATAATAAGGTTTCAGGAAAAGAAAATGTCTTTGTTGCTTTTCTTTTTTATTTATTTATTTGTTTGTTTGTTTGTTTATAATAAAGATGTGGGGTACAATTAGGGTTAGTATACAAACGTTGATTATGCAGGTACCCTTTTTGATGAGGCGTGACCCTCCCTCCCCTAGCAGTTGCCCTTAACTGCCAATCCCACCCACATCCCCTGACAGTTTCCCACTACTGCCAATCCCTTTCTTATACTATTATAATTGTTCAAGGTCCACTTGCTTTTCTGTCTTTTGGGGTTTTTTCTGTGTGATTATAATGATCGGTTTAACCACTCACAACTACCATTCACAACTACTCTTTATCTGAGGCTTCTAATAACAAATTTGATTTGTTACCTAATTCTAATAACAATTTTGATTTGTTACCTAAACCAACATTTAAGAAAGTCTCATTTTGCTCTATTGATTATATATCTCTCCATATATATTTATATATCAGTATACACACCCACCCACACACCCACACACACACACACACACACACACACACACACACACACACACAGGAAACCTCTTTGAAATCTAGGGGCAGCTGAGACAGCATTTGGATTTGCATGCACAGTATGTATTCAGAGTTAGTGGGGATTGCAGCTAAAATGCAGTCTCTGCTTAAATGGAGTTCCGCATTAGACATTCAAAAACACAAAACTAGAGGCATAACAACTTTGTAGCAGACATATAATATTCAGACCATCTGATATCTACATTAACAAATACATTTGACTTCCAATACCAATTTCAACCAAAATTTATGAAAAAATATGTATGGGAATGCTGCTTTATTTTCCAAAAAGTGCGTAGAAATACAGTGTTCTATGAGGTTTCCTAGAAAAAGATTTTCTTACATTAAAATTGTTAGGATGATATCACTTAATCATCTTACTTACCAAATATTTAGCTGACAAAAGCCATGTACTAGTCACAATTTCACATGCCCTTCTTTAAAAAATGCTAGCAAGAATATTTTTTTCCCAAGTACTTCTTCCAACATTTTCTGTTCCTCTAAAGGTAGCTTTATTCTTTAATCTTTGGTTTTACAGGGACATTTTCAGATTTAATCTATAGTTTTCACATTGAAGAACCCAATAAAAGGAAATTTGTAACTAGCTCAGTGCTTAAGATGTAAAGATTTATCTAAGGCACCAAACCTTTCAGAGTTTTACACTGTAAGGTGGGAAGGATTTTTAACGTCTGAACTCAATGTCCAAGTAGAACACCGCTCACTCCTAGTAACTTATTGTTGTCCAAGTGATAGCTTTTCAAAAATGCAGAGCAGGCGGGGGCAATGGAAAAAAGTCAAACTGGGCAAGAGGACAACAATGGTGTCAAAACTGGTAAAATTATGCAAAGAATGACACTTCGCAAGGTTGGCAAGGACGGAAAGGGGCTTTATCATCAGGGCAATGGGTTACATTTGATTGAGTGTTTACAGTGAGAGTGGAGGGGCATGCAGAGGCTTGTGATGAGAAGAAAAGGACTGAAAGACAGGTTATTTGAAAAAATAATTTAATAAAAACGGAAGAGGAAATAACATACTTAGGTTATGCGATTTTTGGCCAGAAAGGAACAGAGTACGGTGTATGAATAAAGTCAGGTTTAGAACATACTTAGAAGCCACCAACGGGCCAAGTGTTCCTTAGTGTCTGGCCTCTTCTCCAATCTTGGAGGGGTAGATCCATCCTTTTTCTCTGATCTACTTTATAAAAAAGCTTTTTCTGACCTAAAAAAAAGAAAGAAAGAAAAACCTCCAATGATTGGGATGATAGATTTATTTTTCTAATGTATGTTTCTCATTGTTCAAAATGCTTTTAAAAAATCAGATATGCTCTTCTCACTAAGCCTTGCGATCTTAGCTCTTCCCCAGAGTATTTCACAGAATTACAATGCCAACCTTTGTACAAACATTCAAGCTCCACTGATTTCAGTCTTTGTTGGACCATGATCTGTTAGCTCTTCCAGATGGCTGCAACTGTAGTTACCAGACTACAAGACTTGAAGATACCAAAATTTCCAAGAATAAGAGCCTCAAGGCAATTTAACTTTGGCTTACTACAGTTTTCTAACTCAACATTTGCTGAAGTGAAAACGTTCTCAGTTTCCAAAATAATCTCATTGTGTACTAAACACCGAAGTTAATTAAATTATCTTTTTAGCAAGAAGTACCTATCCTCTATAAATCAAGTATTCAGTTGTTAATGGTTCCTGTGGATCTAGTCTGCAAAGAGAAGTTTACAAAACACTAGAAAATCAAGTACTCAGATGGGGGTACTCAGAATGGTGGCTGCTGTTATCAAGTAGCTGTACAGTGTAACCAGTAAGGCTTCCTGGATTCAAATTCTGCCTCTGCCTTTTACCCACAGGGCTTGGGTAAGCAATTTTTCAAGCCTATTTCCTCATCTGTGAGATAGGCATAAAACAAATCTTCTTTCATAAGATTATTACAAGAAATAAGGTAGCAATCAGTAAATTGCTTAGCACAATACCCAGTGTTTAAGTTAGAATGGTGTTCTTCATCCATGTTGGGAATGTCATAGTTCAAAAATCTTTCTCAAAGATGATAGTTACTTTGAAGTAAACATTTTGCACTGGGAGATTTGGGTTATCTTCAGAATTTGTATTCCCAGAATCAGTCCACCAGTATTGCACAACCAGCCCTTCCTTCAGCAAAAAGGAGAGGGAACCTGCAAGAACAAACATTCCCACCAGTGGGGAAGAAATTAAGTTTAGTGCCTCTCTTTCCTCTCACACCGGCAGGAAATGCAGTCCAAGTTTTTGCTGCACTTCAGACATCTGTGTAAAAATACTTTGCAATTAACAAAAAAGGGGGTGAAATCTCTGAAGATTTCCATGTCTCCAAAAACTTGAAAATCTTAGGTATCACAAGAGGCTTGCAAAATAAGGAGTAATATTGCAGTAACAAGAGTTTCTACCTCTTAGATTTTTTTTTAACACAAAATTTTCTCCAGCAAATGATGGGCTGTAGGATCAAATATTTTCCTTAATTTACTGAGATTATTTAGTAGAAGAGCTTCAGAAAAATCCCAGCCCTTGGGACAACGCAATAAATTTCTCTGAAATGCTTAGACACAACTCACCATAGGGTAAAAAATTTAACTATATACTTTATAGTTTATCAATTGCATAAAGAATTAGCAATACATGCTTTACCATAGAATTTATAACTAATTTTTTTGTTTATACTAAATTTGAAAACAAAATAAATTAAAGTTAGACTATCATCCTTCAGGCAAAAACTCAAGACAAAATGAATCTAAAAAATAATTGGTTGAAAGGTTTCTACCCCCTCAGGTTGTCTGAGTCAATGAGTACAGATATTTAACAAATTGTCAGATCCAGGAAGAAACAAAAGGGTATGAAACAAGGGAAGAGGACTTTAACACAATTTGCAGGTGAGGAACTATGGCATCAAATAGGAGGCAGAACTTTCTAAGAACAAATGGCTTGATTTGAGAAATATGAACGTTGTTTCTTTCCAAAATTCTGCACGTGAGCTTAGCCAAAAGTCCAAGAAACAATTCCTTCCAGAATTCCAAACTTCAGTTTCAGGAGAAAGTACAGCTAGAACTTGTAAATGTGCAAAAGTCCCTAAGTGGTCACTGCTTTAGATTACTTGTGCTATATGCAGTTTTAGAAAGGAAACAGAAAATCCCAAACTCACTCTTGGTCGGTAAGTACTATGAAGGCAAAAATTACTTTCTGCTTTCTAATTTTTTTCTTAATAACTTTTCAATTCCACTTTAGAGTCTTTGACTCTTACTTAAATAGTGGCTTTTAAAGTCAATCGATGTTTGTTCATTCATGAAAGCAAGCAGACAAGATTAAAGGTATTCACTGCATCTTTCAAGGGGTAGAACCTGGATGTTTGGATACCAAATGCAATCTCCTCTAAAATTCACATTGAAAAATGCCATTTAGAGTCTAGGTTAGATTTTAAAAAATAGAGTTCGTACAAAGGGTAAGGAGGTCTGCTAACCATTTCTCTGTTTGTTTGTTTCTCAGAAATCCTCTTCTTTCTCAAGAAGAGGAAAAAAAAATGACAAAGGCAAAACTAGTTCACATGTTCCTGTTTCGTTCATGTTTGCCAAAAAAAGCTAGAGCAATCAGTGCATCTTGGAACCCAAACCAGAGGGTACCATACTAGTTGTCCAAATCTTTCTCAGGAAAGTAGGGACAGAAGACATAGGAAAAATACATGGTGTTCTGGTTGTTCACAGCAGCCTGAGCTGCACATTGTGACCCATCTTGGCTTACACGTCTAGGTTGCCTTCCATCAGGGGAGAATGATCATACATTGGTAAATTGAGTTAATACAGTAAAGCCAATATAAGCACTGATGTTTTGTCTTCTGCCAGCATATTAATATGCAAGCATTAAGTTATAGGAGAAAAGGGGCTAATTTTAGATTTGTTCCTAGCCCTCTCCATGTGAATGGTGTCGCTGTGAGCCCAGCAATGAAGTTCACTGTGTTGTAGCAGACTGCGCGGTTCCTGAGTGTGTCAACCCAGTCTATGAACCAGAACAATGTTGTCCTGTCTGCAAAAATGGTAAGACCACACTGCATTAGCTTTCAAAGAGGGGTTAGTGCAAAATACAGATATTTTACTACTGCACACCATTCAATCAAGAAGTCTTCCAAGATTTGCCTGACTTCTCTATATGGGCATGGTGGATTTATATTTTTATCCCATCTTAAAGTAGAAATAAACCTTTAATGGGCGAATTGTGTAGCTTTTCGTCTGGGGAATTAAAGCTCTTGTAAGCTGACTTGGTTGTGATCCCTGTTTATTTATTGCTCATTTATAAGGAGGATATTGGGTAGATCACAGTCCCATCTTTTTGTAGCGACTTGTATTTCTCTCTCTTGTGAAACCTTCAAAGCAGTTCACCCCATTTCATCGTGCATAACCTAGGATACAGAGTAAAGTGAATGCCAGGTATTTTGTATTGGGCATAAATAAGACTTTAGGTTTAGAGTTAAGTTATCAAAGAACTATAGGACTCAATTATCAATGCATTTAAAGTGAAGGAACACACGAAAAAGCTTAGGGTTTTTATCCTAGGCTTTCATTACAGTGGAACCTTGCTCTCGCGGTATTTGCTACAGAGGGGAACTTGGTGTATTTGTAAAGCTATAGGTTCCTTTTTGTCCTTCATGTAAGGGTGAGTTTGAAACAACTATTATATCCTAATTACCCCAATGCTGCAGAAAAGACAATCAATGCCATAACTCTGGGACAATAACAACAAACCCAGTAGTAAACTTTTTCCTAGTAACTGTGTACATCCCAAAAAGAAAAATAATAATTCTTTGCAAAGTAGCACTCAACAAATGAATATCTGCTTTTTAAAAGCAGTGCTGGTTCTTAATTAAGCTGAAGACACTCACCCTAATGCTGAAACTCTGTCTCCTTTCTTGAGTTGAATATGGTCCTCTTCCTCTACTATATATATATTTTACAATGAATTTTGAATTATGTTAGCTCATCTACTAATCTTTTTCTTCACAGAAGAATAATTAGTAAAAAAAAAAAAACAGAAAGAAAGAAAGAAACATCAAGTTATTTTAATTTTTTAAAAGTAGTTCTGGTTGTTTTTTATTTATTTATTTATTTATTTATTTTAAGGATGTGGGGTACATTTCAGGGTTAGGTATACAAATGTTCATTATGCAGGTACCTTTGTTGATGCGTTGTGCTCCCTCCACCCTAGCAGTTTCCAGCTACTTCCAATCCCTTTCTTCTCATATTATGATAATTGTTCAAGGACCACTTATGAGTGAGAACATGTGCTCTGGTTGTTTTTGTAATAAGTTTTGTGTTTTGGTGTCTTATGATGGGACTAATAAAGAACCCTTGAAACACTTTTCCAGGCACAGGTTTTTCTATTTCTGATCATATAAATCCATTAGATTGAATATTAAATCGCTCTCCTGGCTTCTCTTTTTCTTCTTATCCCCCTAATCCAGCCTACCTATCCAATTGAGCATCTCTCTGACTCTGACTTAGAGGGTGGAAATATTCTTCTAAAGTTCAAATATATGCAAAACTATCAAATTTAAGACTTTATATTTTTACAAGAATTCTGAAGAAAATGGAAAAGATATAGGAGTGAACAAAAACATGATTTAATGGTTGAAAAATAGGGCCTATGGGGATAGACTGAAGAGTTAGTATAATTTGTGCTGGAGAAGAGAAGGCTTAGGTGAGCCCAAACTGTCATAAAATATATGAATGGTCAGTCCAAAGTAGAAGAGAAATTGTTATTTTTCATTTTCTCCAAGGATAAAAGGAAGAAAAGCTACACTACCTAATCAATCTTTAAAAATAAGATTGACATGTCTTTGAAAACTGTCTTTTAATTTTTTTCTAGAGGCAACTGTCTAAACAGGTCCTTGAGAAGCCTGTCTTCCTTAGGTGGCCCTAGCTAGCTTCATCTCATTTTTAGAATAAATATAATTATGCATATAGTTAAAAATCCTGGTCTGAGCACATTCGGCATACTCATAAAATTAGACCATCTAGAGCACATTTTAGAATAGAGTTTTTAACATGCATCTATCACATTCTCATAATGACCCTACACCAATGCCCGTGATAAATCCAGTGTTATTATCTATGTCATATGTTAAATCAGTCACTATAAACGAGTCACACTTTATTTGATGTCACAAAAGATTATCCTATTTCTCTCTATCACATGTCAGAGTAGAAATTTTTATCCAAGTGAAATCCTCTTTGTACAAAAATGTATAGTGAATGGACTTTACTTGTTCAATTAATTAGTTAATTAATAAGTAATTCATTAGTATCTCTGATAAACAGATACTGAGTGCACAGGGTTTATTAGTTAAGTTTTCTGATTTTTTTGGGGGGGGTCAGTTAAGTACTACTATTCCCTCTTGGTACCTCCAAACAAACTTTGGTTTTTTTAAATAAGGAAAATGAATCTGAATTAAAATTAGTGGGAAGACTAACTAATTGTAATATAATATTATGAGATGCTATCTTTTTATTATTATTAAATGTCACTATTCCCTCATGCCCAAAAGGCAAAATAGAATTATTGACAGAAAAGAGCACATCAAGGACCACTGAAGACTCCTATGACCACAAGTGGTATCAATATACTTATTGAGAAAACAGACTGGGCCCTGGGTCTCTGGCTGCCATTCTAAGTCCAGCCTAGAAACAGAAACAGATGACCCATATGTAGAAGAACAGGAAGGAAAATAAATGCTCATTATAATGCAATATAACTAGAACACGTTCTTAAGTTTCCAACACATAAGTCTATCTCATTATAAAGGGGGAAGATAAATATTCCCATTATAGTGTAAACTATTTATTAAACTATGCTACTATGTTCTTAGATTTAGAGAAAAAAAAAGAAGCCACAAGAAGATAAAAATCTGCCTTATAGATTCAAAGTAGAGACAATGTATTTTTAAACTATCTTATAACATTTTCTGAAATCTTCATAATGTTGATATTTTTGGCGGGCAAGTAATTTTCAGCTTGTATAAATGTTGGTTATCTAAGCTGTCAAATACTTGTCTTTTTCAGAACAAAATTGTTTTTTCTGTTTTCCTGAACTTTAATTTGCCAAGACAAAGAAGCATTAAAGATACAAAATTTAAAAATAAGACACAAACTTTATATTAAAGAAATAAACTTTTTAAAAGTTTAAAGTGATAGAAGCTATCACACTTAACCTTAAAATTCTATATTAAGTTAACATCACTATATTTGTTTTGAGAGTATTTAAGAACAAACCAAAAAAAGAAAGCATAACAAAATGTACATAGTTTTTCCAGAAAACAGTAATTTACCAATGAAAATAAAACAAGTACCTTTAGAAATAAATATTTTGATATTATAAAGTGAAAGGTAATCTGTTCCCTAGATAAACATTGGTTACTTCTCTTTAGTCTTGACAATATAATTTTTGAGATTTAAGAACATATATTTTTAGAAATTTTCTCTGATTGTGTTAAGAAGAAAGAGAATTTTAAATTTCCTGGTCTCAATGAATACCTCAAACAAGATTTCCAATGGTTATCAGTGAATTAAACAAATCATACAATATGCAATTCTCCATTCATAGTAAAGTTAGAAAAGATATCAGTTGAGCCTGAACAACTAAGGAAAGATGTGAATGATTAGCCGGAGTCTAGTAACACACAAAAAAAGAAGGCAAAATATTAGGGTAATATTTTGGCTTTGATTTTGCTTTTAGACACAGGGTCTCACTATGTTGCCCAGGCTGAAATGCAGTGGCATGATCAGAGCTGACTGCAACCCAAAGTTCCTAGGCTCAAGTGATCCAATAAGGGTAATTTTTTATTTGGAGAGAATTGGAGATTGATATAGGAATTTATTGTTTCTAAAAATAGTATTAACCGTGTGTTTCTCCTTCCTTTATAAAGCTTCAAAAGATAGCAATACAAATGTCTTCCTGAAAAGCATGATATTTCCGGACTGATTTTCTTTCCCTAAGACCGTGTTACTTTTACCTATCTTTCAGCTACAGGCTTTTCCCTGTGAATTAACAAACGCTCTTGATAGTTTTTTGTTTTAATAATTTGAAAAAATATATTAGCACAGATTCTGCTTAAAGAACACATTCCATTTGGAGTGTCCCATAAATATTTCAGATATTTGGAGACTGACCACGCGCATAGCCAAGAACGCCTATTATTTATTTTTGTATGAGTGAATATTTTAACTTCTTGCCCTGTAGTCACTTATTCCATTCTTCAATAGTCCATACATAATGATATTTTAACCCCAAGTCATTAAGAATATGTTTATAGAATGCTGAACATTTGGATTAAAAAATAAAATATGTGGCCAGTTATCAAAATGTTCAGTCATTGAGCATCAAAATAACTGACTGCATTTTTTACATTTCATCAGCCAATATGTCAGTGAGTTTCATGTTTTCACTGGAATATATAGTCAGTCATTATTCATGGCATAGAAGAAAAAGTACATCGTGAAAAATTGGAACAGACAGAACATTCCCACAGAATCATCTATACATGTTAAGGAGTTTCATCTCCTATCTAAATAAATTAAAGTTGTCATAAGCCCTGTTCAAATATTTAATTCCATTTTCCCACTCTCTTCTAGCTTAGTAGTGATACAAATAAATCGGGAAGTAGACTAGTTAAAAAGGGAAAGAGAAAAGAAAAAGACAGCAAAACCGGTGAGGGGTGTTCAAACAAGAAAGAGAAGGGCTTTATAGGCATCCAATACCTTCTAAAGGCTCTTAGCAGGACATGTTTGCGCCATTCAATGTTCATATCCCTTCATATACAAAGAGCTCTTTGAAATAAATAAGAGAGCCGGGCTCGGTGGCTCGGCCTGTCATCCCGCGCCTTTGGGAGGCTGAGGTGAGTGGATTGCCTGAGCCCGCGGGTTCAAGACCCGCCTGGGCAACTTGGAGAGACCTCATCTCTACAATAAATCAAAATGAGCCGGGCGGGGTAGCGCGCGCCTGTAGTTCCAGCTATTCTGAAGGCCGAGGTGGAAGGATCGCCGGA